CTGTTAGCATGTAAGAAATACTGCTGCTGCACATATAACACATATGAATAACCCCCATATAGCATACATGAATCACCCCATAGCAGATCTATACAGGTGGAGCTGGGGAAGGTGGAGGGTTTCTGAAGTGCGCTGCTAACTGCTACAGCAAACAAAAGCCAGGTATTTGAATATTGAGCAATAAGCTCATTGGCTACCAGTACAGGAGAGAACCAATCAGCTGCCATGTGACAATGATGTCGCCAGGTCAGATTGAGCTAGACCTATCGGACTGCGCCATCTAGAGTTTCATGCCAGAACTCTGTATTTACATTTTTCAGTCTTTTGATGATACTTCATTTATACACTACCATTCAAATAAGAATACGTTTGAAATAAGTCTCTTATGTTCCCCAAGGCTGCATTTATTTGATCAGTAAAAGCAGTAATATTGTGAAATGTTAAAATTGAAAATAACTGTTTTCCTTTGGAATTCATTTTAAAATGTAATGTATTCCTGTGATGCAAAGCTGAATTTTCAGCATCATTACTCCAGTCTTCAGTGTCACATGATCCTTCAAAAATCATTTTAATATGCTGACTTGCTGTTCAATAAACATTTCTGATTAATCATTTTGAAAACAGTTGTGGTGTTTAATATTATTGTGGAAACCATGACTTTTTCAGGTTTCTTTAATTAATAGATAGTTCAGAAGAACAGAATTTATTTGAAATAGAAATCTAAATGTTCTAATCTAAACAATATAAATGACTTTACTATTACTTTTGATCAATTTAATATTTCTTTGATGAATAGCATTAGTAAAGTATTAATAAAAATAAAAAAAACATACTGACATCAAAGTTTTGAACAGTAGCATATCTAGATATTCATGTATTTGCTCTAAAGTTATTTTTTTTTCTTCCCCAATCAAAGCAACCATCATTTTAAAGAAACAGATGGAGATTAGATAATTAAGGAGATTTAAAACATTTAAATGTAAAAACTAAAATAATTATTCATTTATACACAGCAAGTTAACAGTACATGGTAAAATATTTTGCTAAATATTTTAGCATTTAAAAAATGCCACAAAGAGGCTAAATAAGGTGATCACATGCTTTTTGATGTTATAAATGTAATCAGAATTTTAAGTTTAATCACTGATATGGAGATTTTTTAATAAATCATGAAAATAAATCAAACTTAATCTGATGTAATTTTTGCTACTGAAAAACCTCTGAATGCTCTCATAATGTTCGAGTTGCGACATTAGAGTACATGGTTCAGAAATCCTAATTAGCTAAATCACAATGTTGCATAATTTTAAATTATCAGCAAAATCATTGTGGATATTTTGAGAATTCAATGCAAAAATTGAAGAATGGCTTCACAATTAACGTAGTCATTCATTTAGCTTCCGTTAGGCCCAGATAAACGTCAAGATCTACCTGCATGCACACACTCGCACAGGAACCTTTTGAGGGTGATAATTGACATCTTTTGAAGAGAAGCTGTGATATTTAATAACTAATGGTTTAAAGTTAATGATTGTCCAGAGGGGGTCTCCAGCAATTAACATGATTCCCCTCTCTATCAGACATCTGCTGAGAGAGATCCAGGAAATATAGAGATTACTGGCACCCCAGAGACGCTCTACACTAAGCGTAAAGGTGAAATATATTAAAGAGCCCATTCATATGTTGATTCACCTGAAAAGTTTTAACACTATTATCAAAACAACCAACCTGACACAGCAACACTGACTTAACCAATGGCATGATTTTGGAGGCGGGACTATCTGGATTGTCTGACCAATGCACTCTTAAAAATAAAAGTTCCAAAGGAATCTTTTCGCAATAGGTGCTTTCGTACCGCAGGAACCTTTTTATAGTTCCTAGACCTATTGGCAGAAGTTCCCGCTTTTTGGCATGTTCACACCACAGGAACTTGGAACGTATTTTGTTCTTGGAACGGATTTTGTTCTAGACCCAGAGCAGGGTCTAAAACAGTTCCATGGGAACTACCAGTTATGTAAGTGTATGCTGATTAGCCAAACACATATGAAACACCGGCTACCAGGCATTTTTAAAAAGCCGTGTAAAAATATTTACTCCACGAACATGAAAAACAGCGATAATAACGGCATTTAGCTACCTATTGTCTGCAGCGTTATGTTCTTTTCTCAGCCTCGATGATATGTATCACTGCAAGTTGTCATAGGAGATTTAGTACATTTTCATGCTTTCAATCGCGTAAAATGTGCGTTTACATTCCATCTTCGTTATCACGAAACCCACGACACACAACAAAAACAGCTCCAATCACATACCATTCACCAGTTGTCGATGTTTGTAAATACCATGAATAAAGACGCATCAACAAAATGAAAAAAAAAAACATGTTCAGATCATTTAAAATAGGCTATTTTATCTTTTTTTGTACTATAATATGAGTTCTAGTCTTTATGGATATGTAGGACTCCATTGACACTGAGGGCTATTTAAGGACGTCTCTTTTATTGCTCATCCTCCACCTCCTAATGAACCCAAACTCACTAATAATGATCCTGGGTGTCCTTCAGACCACGAAGGGCAGCCAGAACCTTCACACACACACACACACACACACACACACACACACACACATGCACACACACACACTCACGATAGCCTTTACTGCAGTGCTGGCTAACTCTCAGACTTTTAAGAGCAGGAGCTAAATTACCTACAATGCTTCAACTGCAGACAGAAAGCATCATACCCTTGAAAACTGGAGTTGTAATTGAATATAAAATGAAATTAGCTTTTTATAAAGTTCCAGTATTACGCGCAAGAAACAATAAAATATTAATATTATTAATGCCAAGCATGCCAGAGGTGCAGCCTCGATGACTTTCAAACATCCTCTTATCCGCTCTCATTGTGTGTATTTTATGGATCAAACAAGCCACGTTAACAACGCTATAGGTTGAAGCAAGAATTAGTCCAAAAACATGCAAGCGCCACTGCATCAGCGTTGTTTAACATCGCAGCCCTCTCCCGTGGGAAATACAGGCGCATAAACAGCCCCAGAAAACTTCAGCAAAATGGAGGGCTCTAGTCCCAAACAGTATTTACACCCCTGCTGGAGAGACTCAATCAGTGCTGGCCATGCAGGAATCAAGCTGGGACGGAATAAGTTAATTGGGATCAATCAGCACGGAACCGGTTCCCTAGGGCTGGGCGCCTTAGGCAAGCAGGATCTGTCAGCGATTGCTTGAAAGATTTGTTAACCACCGACCGGGTTGTTGGTGATGCGGTTGAGCGGCTCTGACTCAACACAAACTTGAAGAGCGAGGGAGAATTCAATGTCACCCCTGTTACTAGAGATGTGCAGAGACTCAGAGAGAGGTAGGATACCACTTTCAGAAAAATACATGCAGGGGCACTGCTGGATTTAATGGAATAATTCACCTAAAAATGAAAATCTTGTCTTTACTCACTCATTTTTAGTCTTCTGTGTAACATAAAAGGTGGTTTTCTGAATAATATCCTGCCACATCTTGTGAAAAAGAAGTACACTTTGACATACTTTTAAAAAGAGAACTTATGGAAATTATTTACTTTAAACTGATTGCACTTTTTCTGACACTTAATTGCATGTTTAATGCAATTAAAAGAAAATGTATTATAGTTTAAATTTATATTAATTGCAATTAGCTGATCTTCAGAGTTCTTTTTTGACCCACTTATGTAGGACTTAAGTACATCTTTTTAAGTAATTTCGTAATTACTTTTGTTGTGTGGGAAATATTTTTTAATTTTGTTGTCGGATGTACTGACAATCATTTACTGTATAGTAAACTAAAATCCACTATTCTATACTATATACAGTTTTATACTAATCAAATGATATTCTATTAAAACCTGTATGTCATATATTTAAATACATTTGTAATGATGAAGTTGCAGTTTAAAATATTTAACTTTAAATTTAATATTGAATAACACACTACAGTTAAAATTATAATCAGGTACTTTACTTATGTGCTTTAGCATGTTGGTAATGTGAAAATAAAACATGAAAATAAGTGAACTTCTTAAGCACAACAAAAGATTATTAAAATGCACCTAATATATTGATTATTAAAAAATATAAAAATGTACTTTAAAGTAAAACTTAAATTTTTACTTTATTTTAGTGTGTTAGGAAACAGTGTACTCTCTTTAAGTACACTTTAGTGGTCTTTTATTTCATTAATTCTATATTATCTGCAAGTAAAGTTTTTAAATATATTCTTATAAGATTTTAAGTACACTGCAAGTGCACATTCAGTACAATTAATCACACTTCTTTTTCACGAAATATATTTTTTAACGGGACAAGGAAAAGTCATACAAGTTTGGAGCGACATGAGGGTGAGGAAATGACTGAATTTGAACTTTTGGGTGAACTATCCCATAATAATAAATTAAGTTTTAAATGAAAAATGTAATCTTGATGGTGACACTCAGACGCACAGCGAATTTATACTGCTCAGACGCACAGTGACAGTCGACCACAAGCCATCAGCTTAATAACACAATAAATTAAATGGACTCAAACACTTTGTGCAACCTCACTCCTTCAGTACGTCTTAATGAAATCAATATACTGGACGTGGGCCCATGTCCTAATGCAAGGAAAACTAGATTACATTGACTTGTATGTCTCTGTAATTAAATAAGGGCCATACTGAGCAGCTGCACACTGTTATTTACTATTCCATTTACTCACTCAGCTTCAGTAAGGAGCCTGTGTGTGTATGCAGGCATTTACTTGAAATCATTTTTAACTGACCTTCAACTGCTGCCCGAGACTAGATCATGTGACTGAAAGGTTCTCGGGATGCATTTTTAATCATTTGTCATTGAATTTTTAATTTAATGAAACAAACAAACCCACGTGCACTCGCAAAAATGGTATTAATTATTTAAAACACTGTGATGGAGCTCTAAGTGTATTTGCAGTGTGAATGGGTTTTAGGTTTGAGACTCACGTCAGGATATTCTTTAACAGGCACAAAGAGTTTCTCTTGGAGCTGAACGATGGGGCCGACGGCGTCCGGGAGCTCGGAGCTTCTCTTCTCCGTGCTGCCGTTTAACGTGTCGTTGTACATGTCCTTTCGTACCCTGCTGATCTCTGAAATAAAGAGAAACACACGCACCATGAGTTAACTGCATCAATCAGGATGCAGACTGGGCAAGGATAGGATTACAGATATAGTGGCAGGCTATATACTACATTTCCTTTACCAATGGATTATATGCCCTTTAATATGGCAGTAGAAGAGTGCAAACGCTCCTTAAACACTGCTCTTAAAACTAATGAACCATTCAGTATGTTACAGCATCTACAGTCACACAGCATGGTTTAACAGAGTAGAGCATGATCCTAGATTAACGGTTTTGTTGTTTGACAATATGGTAATCAAACAATTTAAGGTTGCACAGTTACATGATTGATACTATGATTATTAATCATTAAACTTTACTTACTTTAGCATGTTGGTAATGTGAAAATAAAACATGAAAATAAGTGAACTTCTTAAGCACAACAAAAGATTATTAAAATGCACCTAATGTATTGATTATTAAAAAAATATAAAAATTTACTTTAAAGTAAAACTTAAATTTTTACTTTATTTTAGTGTGTTAGGAAACAGTGTACTCTCTTTAAGTACACTTTAGTGGTCTTTTATTTCATTAATTCTATATTATCTGCAAGTAAAGTTTTTAAATATATTCTTATAAGATTTTAAGTACACTGCAAGTGCACATTCAGTACAATTAATCACACTTCTTTTTCACGAAATATATTTTTTAACGGGACAAGGAAAAGTCATACAAGTTTGGAGCGACATGAGGGTGAGGAAATGACTGAATTTGAACTTTTGGGTGAACTATCCCATAATAATAAATTAAGTTTTAAATGAAAAATGTAATCTTGATGGTGACACTCAGACGCACAGCGAATTTATACTGCTCAGACGCACAGTGACAGTCGACCACAAGCCATCAGCTTAATAACACAATAAATTAAATGGACTCAAACACTTTGTGCAACCTCACTCCTTCAGTACGTCTTAATGAAATCAATATACTGGACGTGGGCCCATGTCCTAATGCAAGGAAAACTAGATTACATTGACTTGTATGTCTCTGTAATTAAATAAGGGCCATACTGAGCAGCTGCACACTGTTATTTACTATTCCATTTACTCACTCAGCTTCAGTAAGGAGCCTGTGTGTGTATGCAGGCATTTACTTGAAATCATTTTTAACTGACCTTCAACTGCTGCCCGAGACTAGATCATGTGACTGAAAGGTTCTCGGGATGCATTTTTAATCATTTGTCATTGAATTTTTAATTTAATGAAACAAACAAACCCACGTGCACTCGCAAAAATGGCATTAATTATTTAAAACACTGTGATGGAGCTCTAAGTGTATTTGCAGTGTGAATGGGTTTTAGGTTTGAGACTCACGTCAGGATATTCTTTAACAGGCACAAAGAGTTTCTCTTGGAGCTGAACGATGGGGCCGACGGCGTCCGGGAGCTCGGAGCTTCTCTTCTCCGTGCTGCCGTTTAACGTGTCGTTGTACATGTCCTTTCGTACCCTGCTGATCTCTGAAATAAAGAGAAACACACGCACCATGAGTTAACTGCATCAATCAGGATGCAGACTGGGCAAGGATAGGATTACAGATATAGTGGCAGGCTATATACTACATTTCCTTTACCAATGGATTATATGCCCTTTAATATGGCAGTAGAAGAGTGCAAACGCTCCTTAAACACTGCTCTTAAAACTAATGAACCATTCAGTATGTTACAGCATCTACAGTCACACAGCATGGTTTAACAGAGTAGAGCATGATCCTAGATTAACGGTTTTGTTGTTTGACAATATGGTAATCAAACAATTTAAGGTTGCACAGTTACATGATTGATACTATGATTATTAATCATTAAATATACTCCATGTGTGCCTCATGATTCAATGGTTTCAGCAGTCGCAGTGTTTTTTTGTTTTTTTTACAAAGTGCATGGTGAATACAGAACACTTCAGGTTCACAATATTTTCACATTACAAATGTTTTTGGCAGCTGCTGCAAATGTTACAATATAAAACAAAACCAATGAAACAGTAAAAATGAAACAGTAAAAAAAAATCACATAAAAGGCCCCTCTGTCAGAATATAAAGTTTAACCAGAAAATGTACTGTGTGAAAATAAAGTTGTTATGACAAGAAATATGTTACTACTGTGTATTGAAATATTGAAATGTATTTATTTATTTATTTATTATTTATTTATTTTAAGGCTGCATTAATTGGATAACAAATGCAGTAAAAATTGTAATATTATGAAATATTATCATATATAACAATTATATTATATATTTATATAAATATTTAATTTATTTATTTAATATTTATTGTATTATTTGTATATTTTCTATATTTTAATACAGTTCAAGTTGCAATTTATTCCTGTGATGCAAAGCTGAATTTTTTTTTTTTTACTCAGTCTTCAGTGTCACATGATCCTCCAGAAATCATTCTAATATTGCATTCCAATTATTATTTTTTATCAATGTTTCCTACAGGGCTCCTTGATTAATAGAATGTTTTAAAGAATTCTGTTATATGTAAATACTTATTATACTTTTTCTCTTTTTTTGCAACAACATAAAATTCTTTTCTGTCACTTTTGAACTATTTAAAGGTGGGGTAAGCGATTTTCCAAAAACACTTTAGAAAACTGATTCGGGCCCAGTGGCAAAACAAACTTGTAGCCAATCAGCAGTAAGGGGCGTGTCTACTCATCATGTGGAGGAGAGAGCGTTCAGTGCATAGGACGGACATTAGCCGAGCCGAGCGATAGAAAGATAGAGATGGCGGATAAAAAACAAAAGAGGAAAACGTCTGAGGAACAAAGGAAGGCTTACGATAAGGCAAGAAGTAGGACCCATGTAAATATCGGATCAGCTTTCCAGCGCTGGAGAGAACTCAAGGAGCGGAAGGCCTGCGATCGGACGCCGAGGTTGCTTTGTTTCTTCTCAATAGGTGAGTAACACCGTGTCTACAACAGCTAAAGTCTGCCTACACTGGACGCGATCAAAC